TGCCGGTACTCCAGGTACCCTTCCTGCACCCAATTCTGGGTGATGAGCTTCCGGGGCTCCCCGTAGATGAAGTGCTCACTCCCAGCATGCACCCCCATCACACCCAGCACTTCCCAGATGACCTCCTCCCGGGCGCAGTCACCTTCCAAGAAGATGACACCCAGGATATTTATCAGGAGGCCAGTCTTGGGCATGCTCTGGAAATCATTCAGCATCCCATCATAGGTAAGGCCCAGGGCAGTGACAAGGACATAGGAGTGGCCAACAGGGTCCACTTCCTTCACATCAATGCCAAAGACCAATTGCATGCACTCAGAGGCTTCACTGAAGATCACAGGGAAGTGATCTTTGTAATCTTTGATGACACTATTCAGCATTTCTGTCTTTGTTATTGGCTCCTTGGTTCGATACTTAAGGAGCAGGAAAAGAACCAAATGAGCTACCTTGTCATCTATGGCATCTCTAATCAAGGACTTGGCATCTGGCTGGGCCTCCAAGGTGCTTAGACCCCCCTCTTCTTGCCTGTTGGAACCCTGATCTGATTTGATTGATGGAGTAGCTTTGATGGAAGAGGGAGAGGAACAGGCTTTCTGAGGACTCTGGGGAGGACTCAGCATCCCAGCAGCAGAAATCTCCTTTGTGATGCCCAGGATCAGAGAAAAACAGGAGGCAGAGGGAAAGGAGGAGGGGAAACAGAAGGGAGAGAAAGATGTGGCATCCTCCTCCTGAGCTACCAAAGCCTGTGCACCCACCAGGCCTGGTGCCTTTCTGTGGGCTTGAAGGCCTTCCACAAGCCTATAGCGCTGATTTCTCTGACTGTAGCAACGAGACATGATGGCTCTGCTCTGGGTAGCAAGTAGGATTGTGGGCATGAGCTGTGTGATGGGGAGCCACCGGCCTGTGGAGAGAGGAAGCATGTCAGTGGCCTCAGTGAGAACCACACCCTGGAGCTGTAAGAAAGGCTTGTCCTACAGGCCTTCTCCTCCCAGGGCTCCTGTCCTCCTGGTCGGCCTGTCCTCTAAGCACCTGAATGAGGAAGTGAGATGGGTCCTCAGGGGCAGCAGCCTGCAGAGCATGAGGCTCCAGGGCTGAAGTGGGCAGGTGGGGCAGAGCACTGTGGGGTTCCCTGTGTGCTGGGAAGGGCAGGGGCCTTGGCACACATTCAGGGTGTGTACCTTACCCTGACTCCTGGCACTGCCTGGACCTCCTCTGCTCTGTGACCTGAGGACACTGCCTCGGATTAAGGTCTCACCGTGGGTTCCTGGAGCCCCTGTAAGAGGAAGTGAGGGGCCCTCAGGCTGCAGATACACGCACAGCCCCAGGCCCACCAGTGTTGTAAGGAGGGTGGGCCAGGCTCTGTGAGGTCCTCAGTGTTCTGGGGTGGATGGTCCCCTCCATGCTCACTCAGGGCCCTCACTTTTCGCCTGGAGGGCCCTAGACCCCACCCCTCTGCTGGGCTGAGAAACTCTCAGAACAAGAGCTCACATCCCTGGTACAGAGCAGAAGGCAGTGAGTGGGCCCCATAGCTGGCCACAGCTGCTCAGGGCCTCCCAGGAAGGATGCCAAGAGGCAGCTAAATTCAGTGGGGTCCATCTGTTCTGGGACATGGAAATGAGAGGGCATCACATGCAGACACCATGCTTCAAGTCCTCCATGGCTGACAGAAGACCACGGGTCTAGTATGTTCTGGTGTAGGGAGTCCCCTCAGTCCTCCCTCAGGATCCTCAGCCTGATGCCTGTTAGAGTCTGGGACTCCTCCCTCTGCTGACCTGAGTTTGGCTTTCTGTGCTGAAGCCTCCCCTCCCTCAGATTCCTAAAGTGGAAGTTAGGAAACCTCACATCCATCCCCCTCCTCCACCCCCCACATCACCTGGGTCTTCGAGGACTGACATCAGGGTCACAAGATGCTGGGTGAGGAGCCTCTAATTTGGATTCCAGGGTCCTCTCAGCCCTCCCTCAGGGGCTTCACCTTGACCCTTAACAGATCCTGGGACTCCCCTGTGCAGACCTGAGTCTGGCCCCTTGGAATCAAGGCCCTCACCTCCTTCAGACTCCATCCCCCAGACAAATGTCAGAGGCTGTCACTCTGGGCTATCAGACCATCCTTACATGGAGCCTTCCAGGACTGACAGCAATGGCAAAGTGTCTGGGGGCCCCTCTATCTTCCCTGAGCTTCCTCATTGCAACTAGTGAAAAGATCAGAGACTCCTCCCTCTGCTGTCTGGAGTCCAGGCCCCTTCCACCAAAGCCCTCGCTTCTGAGATTCAGAGCTGGAAATGACTTGGGACAGAGCAGGCCTGCCTGAGATCTCCCAGGGCTGAAAGTAGATGCGGGCTGAGGGTCTTCTTTGTGCTTTGGTGGGGAGCCCCTTCAATCTCCACTCAGGGCCCTGACCTTGATGCCTGGCAGAGCCTGGACCCCCACCCTCTATGGCCTTCAGTCAGCCCCAGCTCACAGCAGGCTCTGACTCTCAGAGTCCCCGACTCTCAGAGTCCCCTAAATCCTAAGGGGGAGGGGCTCAGCCTGACACGTCTGCCCCAGGGTGGCCCAAGGCTGACAGCAGGGACAAAGCTGGACTATTTGGGACCCTCTACTTGGAGTGGGGGCCCCCTCAGTCCACCCTCATCATCTCACTTGACTCTTCACAGAACCTGGGCCCTCTCACCTCAGCGATGTGAAGCCTGCGCCTCAGACCAAGGCCCTCGCCTCTGTCAGCCCCCTAGGCGGATGTCGGTGGACGTCAGATCCCGCCCCCCCACACACACAGGGGCTTCCCGGGCTGACAGCAGGGGCAAAGCTGGATTATTTGGGGACCTTCTACCTGGAGTGGGGGCCTCCTCGCTCCACCCTCATCATCTCACCTCACTCCTAAGAGAAGCTGGGCCCTCTCCCCTCGGCCGACGTGAAATCTGCCCCGCAGACCAAGGCCCTCGCCTCTGTCAGCCTCCCAGACGCAAGTCGGTTGGCGTTACATCCCGGCCCCACATCCGGGGCTTCCCAGGGCTGACAGCAGGGACAAAGATGGACTGTGGGGCCCCCTATCGGGATGTAGCGGGGCCTCTCAGTCCTCCCTTAGGGCCCTGCCCTGTATGGCGCTGAGTCAGCCCTGGGTCACACCAGGCTCCGACTCCAGAGTCACCTAAATCCTAAGGGGGAGGGACTCAGACTAACACGTCTTTCCCGGGGTGGTCCATGGCTGACAGCAGGGGCAAAACTGGATTCTTTGGGGACCCTCTACCTGGGGTGGGGCCCCCTCAGTCCACCCTCGTCATCTCACTTCACTCCGAAGAGAAGCTGGGTCCTCTGCCTTGCGTCTA